CCCCCCCCCCCGAGGATGTCAGGGGAACAGTGCAACTAGAGTTCGATTACAGTAGGTCCTGAGGCTATCCCTGGGGTGAGTGATTTATCAATAATTTTTTCAAATATTATCCCGGGTATTTACCTGGGTGACACATGCTCTCGCTCTGCCACTTTCTGACACTTGGGTATTTTTCGGCGGGGCCTGGGGTGCATGGTCAAGGTCAATAATGTTTTCGGGTTTTTAAAGGGCCTGCAGAAGCCCTTGAAAAAATTATCAATCACTTCTGCAATTTTTTTCAATGAAAAAAATCGAAAAAAGTCAATCGGAGTTTTTTCAGCGGAAAAGGGGAAGTGTTTTGCGGAGCGGATTAAATTCCGCGTGAGGGGAGGGGGCGAACAGGTGGACAGGGGGGCTCATGTTGAAATAATCCCGGAAGGTGTTTATTATTGTTGAAAAGAGAAACTCGCGGTTTTTTAATTTTTTTAAGTCATCAAAGATGAAAGAATGTTTTTAATGGATGGAATGGGTTATGAGGGAGATTATTTGGACGGGTTCAAGGCTCTTGTTTTATCGTTCGGATATTTTGGGACCTCTTGAGAGTAACTGCTCAGTCTCATCGGGGATAATCTCACCCTCTGATGGGACTGCAGCATCTGCAATCGATCCGCATTGCACCCCAGAAGTTCCTCGCATGTGTCAAAATATTTACTAGAGAGGGAGAGAATGGGGTTTAATTTTTTTTTTTTTTAATTTTTTATATCGACACCTCCAGCGGTAATTCTCAACTCGATTTCTATTTCTAACGGTGAATTAGGCCGAGTGAAAACTCGTAAAAATCCGCGGTGTGAAACGAGGTGAAAACTAACGAAATAAAAGAGCAAATGATTGGTACGTGGAGAGTTGATCCATGTGCACGCGAAGTCGATTTTTTAAAGTTGTGAAAATTGTATTTTTAAACCTTGGGTATGAGGTAATGACCGGTGAAAATAAACAGACGTGTGTTGGGCGTCGCAAACGCAATGGCAAGACGAAAAATGTTTGATGGAAAGAAAGCGGAAATTAAATTCATGGATTTGAATTCGGTTTTTGGGGGATATCTTGGCATTGAAGGCAGATGGCAGATTTTTCGTCAAGACGTTTTTTGTAGTTTTTGAAATTCTCTACAAAAAATGTCTTCACAAGTATCTTGGTATCTCTCATAGTTTGAGAGATATCTCCCAAAAACTGAGTTCAACGTTGAATTGAACTGGAAAAACGTTCTATGGAAAATGTCCAATTTGCAGAGAGGAAGGGAAGAAAAATAATGTGATTCAAAAATAGGGAGACGAAGTATTACGTGAATTTTTTCTGAACTGAATGGGCCTAGAGTCTGGAAGTTATTAATAGAAAAAAATTCGACTCTCGAGATATTTTAGCTCTTGAAATGATCTCCAAATAAATCGTCTTCAAAAATTCTGCTATTCCTCACAATTTTGCAGTAATGTTCATCAATCTCGACGGCAAAATTATAAATTCAATTCCCCCATCACTAAATAACCCACCGGCATAATTAATTCCCCGAGTTGACACGAAAACACTTGAATCTCATGATTAATAAAGTGATCGGGTAAATGCCAGACAGAGCTCGTCGTTAATCCAAAATGTCGAGTAATATCGTAACACTCGGGCCCTCGACCTTTTCCTCCCATATATAAATTCAACGTCAATACACCGAGGATAAAGCCACCCGTCACCAGTCGTCCCCTGACCTCTCAAATGTACTTCCACATGTTTTACCCAAAATGTTGTATATACATATTGGTATACATAACGGGTTTGCGTGTCGTTTTGTAAAGTCTCGGATTCCCCAGGCCCCGTGTCACAAACTGGGTGGCAACTCGTAACGCCCAATTTTCTTCCCTCATTCGTATTATTTATCGTAAAATGATAATAAAGCCAAGACTCAGGATTAAATTCCACTCATCGATATTTCGAAATTTTGATTCACTTGTTTTAAGATGAATTATCGAGGTCTTCACATCACGTGATTCAATATCTCCTTATCTCGAATTTTAACATCTATTTGGAATGAATTCAGGGGGATTCTGTCACGAAGATGAGTTTAATTTAATCGATTTGGGGTTTTGCTATTGGTAACTGTTTATTCTGAGCAGTGAGGGACGATTGATTGTTATGGATGGGGGAACATTTGGGGCAAATAAGAGGGGAGAAAGGTAAACAACGATTTCTGTATTTAGACATTAGGTTTTTCAGGCGAAAAATTCACTCATCAATTTGCTCATCTTCAATACAGGACAATCTCGATGGGGAATGATTCTACAGAAAAATGTCACAGAACATTTTTTGTCGGAAATTTTCTCCTCTGCAAAAAAGTTCTTGTGACATTTTCTCGTAGAACCGCTGGTTTTCGAAATATTCCCCAAGAACTGATCCGAAACAGCGTAACATTGAATTAAAAAATTAGAAAAAAAGGGTTCCTCCATTAATTCACCTTTAATAGAGCAATTCGATTCAATTGATGCGTTACAGAGGATGGGCGTGCAGTGTTGTGCATCGATGACGGTTAGAAAAATGATCGACGATGGGTGGAAACTGTTCAGAGGCACGTACTAATGGATAAAGAATGGCTATCGTGCCTTATCTATGCAAATTCACCCAACTTTGAAGGGGTATCGCTTGACTGGGGGTTTTTAGGGAGCACGAATATGCTTCAAGCACTTTGTCTTCGTTCATGAGTGAGGTCAGACTTACAACAGGTACTTTAATGTCTTTCCGACTCATTTTATTCAATAACATTTAACGACAGGAAGTTCTAAAACACAGGAATTTTTTTTCGCAAACATTTTTCACTTGGAAGTATAAAATTATTATCGTATAGGCGTTATACTATTCATCTACGGCTTTAATAAACAAGGAACAAAGGAACTGTTGAGCGGCCTCGTGAGAAAATAAATGCGCCATGATTTCCCAGTCAAAAGGGGATGAAAAAATCTAAAGGAGAGCTTGAAAAATTTGTTCTTTTTCGAGGCACTGGATGAAGCGAGTTAAAAATTATCTGAAAAACGTAAATAGTTGTAAGAAATGTTCAATAATACGAGGTGGGGATAGATGCCGGCGTCGCCATCTTGCTTGTATCCCCCTTCCACTACTGCAAGGGTCTTTAAACATGGCGGCGTCCCCACCTCGTGTTTTCAAACATTTTTTAAAATTATTCATCATCTTTACATGATCCTCTCCTCGCATTATCCGGTTTCTATAGGAAGAACATTTTTTTAAAGCCATTTGTCACATTTTTTCATCCTCGTTTGGCTGAGAAATCACGACGCAAAGTTTTCCCCACATTTCAGTAGTTTTTTTCCGACGGCTCTTGCTGTTAAAAAAAAGAAGTCTGACATTCCACAAATTTTTCGTTGGCACCAGAAGAAGGAAAAAGTTTTCTGAATTATGCGGAATATTCTTTTCGTACCGTGACCTTCCCAATAAATTGTCACACAAGAACAATCCCAAGAATTACCAATCACACCCCTCGAGTGTGCAAAATTCACAAATGGCGTGTCGACATTTCGGAATTCACTCCAAATTCCCCTAATTTTCAACTGGCACTCAAGACCGCGAGAAGACGAAATCGATGAAAACCCGGTGAATTGTTAGGTGAACATTTATCCCCACCCGTTGTATACAGACAATGCAAATACAATCGTCGAATAGACATGCTACAAATGCCGGTAGAACTATTGACTCCGTAAATCCCCTCCCGGCATTTTCCCCAACCCCCGAGCTTCCACCACTCACCTAAAAAAATTCTCCCCACCTCCCCCAGCACAAGACCTTCGCCAAATGATTTTTTTATGCCCTCCAAACTTCAATTATAACCGTTAAAAAAAATGGAAAAATTGTTTTTGAGAGCTAGAGTTATCCCGTGCATGTTAACGACGGGATAACACCAGTGGAATTGAAGGAGTTTGCGGGCAGGTGGAAACGGGAAGGGGCGGATGTTAATTTGCCAAACGCCTCAGCTGTTTCCTAGAGTACCTGAGTAACTTCTCTTTGCGTGACATTACCCTGAATGTATTATAACGTCTTTAACCAGGGCAGCGTGTTGCTTTACGAGGATTTGCTGGGTGTGTTGCGTGATGCACGAATTAATTCATCCTCGGAGGGGGGGAGGGATTTTCGCGAGATATGAGCTGGCCATGGGGCACTAGGTACCGGCTGACCTAATTTTTATTCGACTCGAGATTTAATAATAAAAGAAATAAAAGTTGAAGCATGAAACGAGATCAATCAATTTTGCTTGAGACTGAACCATCGGATTCACCTGAACCCGGACTCATTTGAAAGATTATAAAAATACCTCGAAAATGGCGTGAAATTTTCTGGCAAATAACTTCCTGAAATGATTGAGAGTCATTGAATTGTCATAAAGACCTTTAATATCCAATTCCGCAAGAACTTGAATTTCCCACATCAATAATTCCCACGAGTGTCCCATAAATAACCCCCTCCCCATTGTCACCCGAAGGTCTCCCACCCAAGGGCAATGCCTCTAGCCTCTAATCCCCATTTTTATTAACATTAATCGGCAAAAATTCCGTGGTATAGAGATAAGTAACAAGCGCTGTGTAGCGTCGCTTGACAACAGCCCCGCAATCCCCGTGTACAGCGACGAAGTAGCGCAAGGGCGACCAGGTTCTGCAGCCCACACACATATTATCCATAGCAAGCCGGTCATTTACTTCCAGGTGGTGCGCGTGTTTAGAAAAAACACGAAATTGTGATGCAGTAGCTGGTGAATAAAATGACCTAAGTTTCAATCCCATATTTCCCAGGAGGCGGTAAAATTTTCTTCCCCTGTGGCGACTTCCCTCGATGCTTATCGTGTGCAAACGGGGACAACGCTCTAAAATCCGGGTCAAATGGCACGAGCGCAGGTACAATTGACCGGTCGAGCCTGTGCAATTTTTTATCCTCAATTTTTCGAGTTTTTTGTTTGTCACCGACAATTGACGGAGTATATCGTCGCAATCTGAGCGGCACTCGATCGTTATCTTTGTGAGCAGTGGCATTCTCTTGAGCTGATGAATCACCTCCGAGGTCGTTGGACCGTGCTCCATCACCTGCGGCCATTCGGATGGAACAAATTTTGATGATTCGAGAAATTGCGATGGGATTAGATTAATTGAGTTCATTTAGAGCTCTGGGGGAGTTCAAGGGAGCTTGCGGAATTTGTAGAGGGTGCTTTTTGGGTGGAATTTTGAGAGCGCCACATAAATTTGAAACTAAAATTTGGCTATGTCTATTGAATCCAGAGATAATTGTCTAAAACCAAGTTAAAGTCCATTAACAACTTCAATAGCCCTTTGGTTTTTGGGAATTATCGCGGAATCTAGAACAGATAGCGAAATTTTTGCTTAAACATTTTTCATAGAGAATTTCAAGAGTTACAAAAAAGGTCCAGATGGAATTTCTGCTATCTCCATTAGATCCCGAGATATTCGTCAAAAAATCAGTTAAGAATCGACTGAACTCAACTAATTAACCCCCTTCATTACATAATTCATTGCGAACCTCGTAGACTCTCCATACTGTAGGCTCAAGTGCTTGGAAGCGTTCCGAGACACTCCGAAGACTGTAGAAGTCCCTGGAGTCGAGGTAGGACAGGATCTCTATCAAGATCTCAGTGGGAAGAGACAGGAGGCCAGGTTTACCAAAATCCTCTGCATCGAGATTTATTTCCCCAGAGGTTTGCGTTTTTTTTTGGCTTTCGTCGCGTCGAAAACGTTTGGCGGGTACCAACGAGTCCATCCGCGCTTTTTCACTCGCATTTTACATTACCCATTAATTTAAACAGCGAAATTAGACGGAGGATCGAGAAGGTTAATTACCGTAATTGACAACAAGGCATCTTCATTTGTTTCTGCTGTCGCTTAAATCACTTTCCAGCGATTGTACCGGCAGAATAATCAAGAACACGATGAATGACACTTGATGTCTATCACACGCAAGTTTTACAGTAAAATGAATTCAGTAGAGAAGTGGTAAAACGGTACAAGTCGATTTTAACTATTCCACTGACCAGTTTTCAATGAATATCTCGGAATCTAAGGGAGATGGCAAAATTTCTGTTATAATCTTTTTTGTAGAGCCGATTGAGAGCTACAACAAATGTGATTACGAAAACTTCGCTATCTCCCTTAGATTTCGAAATATTCCTCAAAAACTCAACTGAGAGATAAGTCGAGTTGAACCATTTTACCACTTCGCTACTGAATTCTACAGAAGTTTTTCCAACGGTTCGTTAGTAAAATTTTTGAATTGAAATAATTTCCCTCGTACATTTCCAAATGGAATACATTAAAATCTACCAAAAGAAATTACCCCAATCATCGCTACTGATATTAATCATCAAGATTTAAAATTTTTAAATGACATTAAAACGTCTGGACAACTACGACCACGCGTGACGGCATTCGAGTGTCCGGATGGGCTGTTCTCAGTGAAAACGTTGGTCAGAGTTACGTCCGATTGGCAATTAGTAATCATGGAGGGGTGTGCACAGTTGCCTGTGCGAGTTACGTACCGGGAAATCGATGCCCGATTGACGCTAGGAATGCCAAGTAAGAGTTCTATCCGGTATCGATTGACTCCATCAGAGTTAAAAAATTTATTTGCAAGACACTTAACACGTCAGTTATTACCGGTGGTAGTTGACACAATTTTAAAAGAATTTTAGTTTAAGAATTGTCGAGGCATTGCCCGATGCAAGGCCTCCATATATTTCAATATTTTATTGAAAGAACTCGTAATGAAATCAAGGGAATACGCAGGTGGGGATTTGAACCCACAACCTTCAGATTACCAATATTAACACCGAACTTAATCGTTCGGGCGGAGGGTCACGAGGGTCAGAAGGGCTACGAGATGATTTCCACACTCATCATGATATTGTGACCAACACCTCATGAACGAACGACCAATGATCACAGAGCCAAGAAATTATCCAACAAACATGTCTTGGAAACATGTTTTCAGGTGTTAAAATGCTCTCGCAACTGAAGACTGAAAGCCGCCGGTTGGATGGCAAGCGCCCGAAGGAGTTGATGTCCTCATCGAGCCTATCCGGGATGTCTCAACTATCGAACAGCAGTGAAGAGGCCCTGGAGCCCTTCGTCACCCACAAGCCCGAGAATGCCGAGAGGTGAGGCTTTTCTTTATAATAATCCTCACACCTCATGAATAAAAGATCCCACGTTATGGTAATGAGAATGAAAAGGGGCCTGCCGCGGTGATTAGAAGGCCTTCGCTAACGCATTTCGGTATTTAGTAAAGTCGTAACACGAGGCTTGCGTTTCTGAAAGGGAAAACTCAAGTGGAGATGGGGCGAAACACGATATTTCCAAGTGTTACGTTTTTATACGATTTATTTCCCTCGTTTATTCACGATTACAGACGTACTTCCGTAATTACATGGGATAATTTCTCATTAATTCCCGACATTTTTATATCTGTGGTATTCGATAGCACTGGGAGTGAGTAGTTTGTAAATTAAACCCACGAGTTTGAATCGCGTGATTTATAAGGATTTCATGGCTCGGGATTATTGAACTCCGAAGCACGTGGGTGAGCGCGATGAATCGTCCATACATATAGACATCAATTTTTTTATTTGTTTGAATGAGGAAACCTGCAGTGCACTCTGTGGATTTTTTTAGATCAATTTTACTGCAGGTCCCGTTCTTATCCGCCTTCGATATCACTGTCAGCCCTGGATCAATCTAGATCGATTGGATCGATAATCAGCCATTGAAAATCACTTTTAATGAATGAGAAATTGCAATTTGTTGCAGTGCACCCAAAGAGAACAGTGCAAAAGGAAACGAGTGGTTGGTGAACGGCCCCAGTGGCAGCAAAGCCCCCGTTCTCAGGTTCAAGTGAGTCTCCTTCACCAAAAATAAACCGATCTAACGAGGCTCACCGTCGTTAAAAATTCTTTTTCTTATTTTTGCGCAGGTGTTCAGCCCTGGCAACTCCCCCCGAAGATCCCCCAGCTAAGCAACTCCACATGACCTATAAAATCATCCAGGCTGACACAAAGCTGATGACACTACTCCTCCAGTGCCACGGACTATCCGAGGTGAGTCATTCATCGGTTCATCGTTAATCACACCTCTATTATGAATCATTGTAATAATACAAAACATGATATCGATTGCTGCGAGGGGCTGATTATAAGAGGCTCGTGAGCCATCGGTCGCAGTTATCAGTCGCAAACTCAGAGGTCTTGAGTTAATCATAATAAGACCACGGGATCGAGTCACTTCTAAATACTTATAGTCACCAGTTGAACAATAAACAATCTCATATGTCTTTATACTATATATCTTTATTATGAATCATTGTAATATTACAAAACTTATAGTATGGGTTATTGCGAGAGGATGATTATACGAAGCCCATTAGTCATAACGCGATAGAAATCTCGAGTTAATCGTGATAAAAACACGGGATTAATTAACAAAAAACCGTCGCCGATCACTTGAAGCCTCTCATTAATACTGATACACTAGACAGTCGAGGTCGATTCAATGGATGCAATTGCTCCAGAACCAGTGGGACCCAGGGCACAGTTCGACATCCAAATTGGCCTTGGTCAGAGTTTCCCTGAGCACTTTGACTCCTTCGCAATCAAGCCCCCAATTAGCTAGGTTTCCAATTTTCCTCAGTCTCCTGCAGCCCCTCAGCATCTTCAGAATGACCCCGGCGGATATCTTGCTGGCTTCGTAGACGTAGAAACACGTGAGACAGTTCAGTAGACAATTATCGCGGATTAGAAGCATCTCGAGATGTTCGTTAGTAAGATCGAAGCAGCTGTGCACGTGTAGTGAGGAAAGTACAGGCGAAAGTTTGATGATCATCGTGACAGTGTGAGCAGTGACAGTTCTGCCGAGTTGAATTCTCCTGAGTTTTCTCAGGGGCGGAGGGTCTGGTCCGTCTAGCCAGACGACCGCCGCCCCCGTCTTCGAGAGACTGACGAGATTTGGACAGTTCTCGAAGACCTCCCTCAGGTCCAACTGCACTGGAGTGTCGCTCTCAGTGATTCTGACACTGAGATCTCTCAATCTCTGTCCGTTTGTCCTCAAGTAATCGTAGAAGCCTGAGAGCCACTCTTTCCTCGCTGGTACACTCTGAATACTCAAGCAGGTGACGTAAGGGAAGAGTCTGAGTGCTTCGGGCGGATGGAGGGGCTCGGAAATGAAGATTTTCTCGAGTCTCGGGCAGGTCTGGGACAGCAACTCCAGTCTCGCAGCTGTTGTTCGACTGCTTCTTGCTTGGGTTAGATTGAAAGGTGTTCGCAGTTGGATTACTCCTCTGTTCATTATCTCGACGACTCGTCCCATGTGGTTGTAATCCGCCAGCGATTCGAGATGGGGGACGTGAGCCAGGGCCAGTAGCACCCCAGCACTGGTGACAGCGGTGTTAGCGACGTTTAGAATCTTCAGGGAATTGCAGAGGACATTCCTCCTCTCGCAGTACTCCAGCAGAATTCCCTGTCGCTCCTGTCTCTCGATCTTATTCTTCTTGGATTTGAGCTTTGAGATGATGGCTTTCAGCTTCGACCAGCTAGTCTCCGAGGGTGACGGATAGGTCGGCAATTTGTCTCGGAGTTCGATCTGAAGGAGAAGATTGTTCAGCCCCATGTCCGTCACTTGCATCGAACAGGCGACGTCTAGGACAACGAGTTTGGGACAGGCTTTGCCGATTACTTGAAGAACAGAGTCATTAGCGATGTTCCTCAGAGTGAGGCTTCGTAGGTTCCTCATGTTCTGAAGAGCGGACTTGAGGAGTTTGCAGTCTAGCCGAAGGAGGGCGGATCTGGCTAGCTCAAGGGATTCCAAACCGATTCCTTCGGAGGCTAGAAGTTTCAAGAGAGACGTTTGGTGGCTGCAGCCGTAGTAACAGCACAGATTAACTTTCAGCTGCTTGATGTCAGGCCCGAGGAGTAGAGCCAGTAGATAAAGTGGCGCAGGTCCAGATATCAGAGTCGACCCGTCTGGGGCTGGACCATAAAGCATTCTCGAGGTCTCCTCAATGACTCGCGATCGAAGTATTGCTGGCAGTGAGTTGACGTAGTAAGGTCGAATCGATTGTTTAGCGTATGTTAAAACTTGATTAGCGGACGTCTCCTGCGAGAGCAGCTGCAATCGCCGGCACGTACCGTCCAACTGCTGGCACACACGTCCCATACTTAGTCCCTCCAGGGACAGAGGCTGACGATGGCCAGGCATCTCGGCATTCACTAGAGAAAAAAAAAGGATTATTCATTTTTAAAATGTTGATCTTACTGAGTGCAGTATGGGAGGTATTTTCGACAAATTGAGCCATGCGCCTTCTTTGTTTCATTTCAAGGCCTGACAACAGGTTATTCCCGTCGCGCGTCAATTCGTTTTATTTTATTCCGTGGGCACCTGGTACACGCCATAGAATCCTTAACGAGCCAACGATAATTTAACGCTCTTCTTCAAACATATCTTGTGGACAATGACAGAAGAATAATTTTTGGCTCTTGGTGAAAAAAAAAGCATTCAGGTAACTGTTTGCCTCGGCGGTTAGAATGTATACATTAACTTGTGAATGTCTCATGCCAATCAAAAATTATGCCTCTGGTATCGTAATTTATTCTCATGATGTTGCGTTAATGGATGAGAATCAATATGGAACTTGGTGACTGTGTGGCATCTCGCTAATCGAGTTATAACACTGATATTCACATCCTACTTGTCACCGTCACGCCTGACGACTCGGTTTCCGTTCTCCATGTGTTCCACATGTTGGAGGATTCAGTGTAATATCATTTTTACCCACATCTATATTTTTATGTTTTCAATCTTATCTGATAATCGCATCGATTGCGCTTTGCCGAACAAAAAATGAGGAAAATATCGTTGGCATTTATTGGATGAGATTCAAGGAGATCTTGATCGCGGGGACAATTATGAATGACGTTGGCTAATCTAATTTTTTTTCCTATCTATATTATTGAGTATCTAGGACTATTAACAGATTACCCAATAATCGACTCGAGTTTTCGATCATTGGTCGTATTTTTCCGAGCCTTCGGGTTCAGATCTTCCCATTTTCCTAATTCGAGGCATTCTCTCCTCAACAAATTTTTTTTTTATTTTTGACAATTTTTTTTTATTTATTCATCTCTTTGGTGTTACAAATGTTTTTCTTTGTTTTACATCTGTGTAGTCCTCCTCCTCTCCTTAATAATTGGTTAACACCAGTTACACAAAATTTATTCTACGTTCATTTTTTGTTATCCTTCATTTTAACTCTGCTTTAAATTAGTAAATATCTAGTATCACTGTTAGTCCTCACTTAATTGTCCTCAACAAAATTTTAAACTCTCTAAAAAAAACCTAATATCGGATGCAATCGCAAGTACCTTGACATTTAAGAGCCTCCCGTATTCAGACGTGGCTCGTAACTCACTCCTCTTGCGGTGAACAGTCCGGTGTAAGGGACTTGTCGCGTAAAAATTTCCTCGTCAGCTAAATTTCAATATGCCCATAAATCCCATGGAGTCGAATAGGAAGTCATTAAATATCCCAACCGACAAAACATTGACTAAAGTCGACATATCGAGTTTCCGGAATACCATACATTATCGTCATCCTGCTGTCATGTCTCGAGATGCGACAAATAGAGTAAAATGACCATAAAAACAACCTTGTCCTTCATCCACAAACAATACATATTCTCTCTCTCTCTCGCTCGCTCTATCACCTCATCTCTTGCTCCCGCGTGGAATAACAAGTCGCATATTTTATACAAATCGATTATTCTAATTTTTCACAACTCGTGGACTATCGCGCATATTATTCCCCGGTTGTTATTACGGTCAACTCGTGACGATTAAGTTTATGCATGTTGTACTGGTAATCATCACCTACTTTGTTATTATTCCTTATCCATACAGGCTATTCAAACTTTTGACGATTCAATTCAGTAGCGAAGCGGTAAACCGGGTTAAGTCGATTTTGACTTTGGGTCAGTTTTTGATGAATATCTCGGAATCTAAAAGAGATGGCAGAATTTTCCCAGGACCTTTTTTGTAACTCTCAATTGGCTCTACAAAAAAGGCCATGACAAAAAAATTTCTATCTCTTTTAGATTCCGAGATATTCGTCAAAAACTGGCCAATAGTCAAAATCGACTTGACCCGGTTTACCGCTTCACTACTGAATTGATTTCATGTGTTTCAAGTTATCAGTGTTTCAAGTTATAAGTATCAAATTGAGCTAAACATTCGTATTTTTCATTACTGAATAATTGAACTAAAGTTTACTTTTTTCACTAATTTCGCCGTCATTAATTGTGCAAAAATTAAGTTGTATCTAATTTTTTTAGTAACAGCCGGCCAGGCTCTGCAGCGCAGACCACAGCCGAATCATTCAAAAAGTTACTTGATATCTATATTTTTTTTAGAAATGAATGGAATATGAATTTTTTTAATGCGAAAAATCGCCGGATTTTGGGGTTGAACCCATGACCCTTAGGCCTCCAGTCTAAGCCTTCATCACCCACATGGCCGCCCCCTCGGTCCATCGAACTATCATTTTTCAATTATGAAAATTCATTGAGAAGATTGCAGTAACAATCATCTTCAACATTGTAAATATTTTTCTTTGAGGAAATCTGTCACTGACGAAAAATAGTGCAAATATGAAGACTTTTCCTCTACAAGCTCATCAATTTTACAACTGAGTCTCGGCTGTTGTTATCTGTGAACATTTTCTATTATAATTTCAAATGGCATTCGAATGACTTTTTTATCTCCTCGTTGTCACATTTATTTTGTTTCATAAATACCCCTGAATAACACATTCTCTTAATCTCTGAATTGTCTCCTACACCAATAAATCGTAATCTCGATAAAATTCACAGGGGTTGAAATCCATCAATCAAAACTCATTAAACAACAATTAAATCGCCATTTAAGTCTGAATTACACTTGTTCATGCCGGTCACGCAAGCACTTGGCACATCTTTGGGGGTATGATTTCACCCCGAAATTAATCAAACCCGATTATATCGATCAAGGGGGTAGGAGAGCACTTTTACGCGCAGGTAAACTCCCACTGGGCGTGAAGGAAACGAAAATCCTGTTAAGATCGACGATAAAAAGGTTCAATGAAAGTTTAACCCGTGTTTTCTCGATTTTTTTTTCTCTCCCCCTTCCAATTCATTCAAACGATCCTATCACTCCATTTCACTGATCTATCACTCGATATTTCGGGGGAATAATGTTCTTTTAATGCGTGAAATCCGCTGTGAATGAACACATGCCTACCTTGATTAAACAAATTCCCCTGACGGGCTGTCTCCTGAGCGGTGGCTCGTGCTAGACTGAGGGGCCTGTGTTTCTCTCAGTTGGAATATCGTAAAAGCGTCTCGCTCTTACGACCTCGCGCCTCCCAATCATGGCGTCCGAGAGTTATAACTTGAGGTTTTTCTTAAAATACTAGATTATTTATCGGGAGATGAGTGGGAATTTTTATTCTTCTTTCTTCTCTCGCTTTTTTCCCCTTTCTATTTCATTATATTACTTTTCTCAGGTCGAGGTTTTGAAATTCGATGCAATAATGTGGATTAAGCGTTGAATTTTTTGTTTGGAGGTGAAGTGAAGGTTTCGGGAATTATTTATTTGACTTTATCGAGATAAAAATGCTCAGCCGAATTTCTGGGATTTAGACGAGATGATTTGTACGTTATTTTGACAGAATTTCTTCATTTTCATTTCTTCACGATGAACAAATGATCTATTCTTCGTTGAATTGTACGTCCTCTTTGTGAAATTCATTTGATTATCGTTATTTCAATTAATTTTTAATAGAAATTATCCGCTCACTCGCGGAGTTTTCAGGAGGAACTCTTTTATTTCTGTTTGTTTCATAGAAAATGTCTAGCTTTCCAATGACGACTTCATGACTTCAATTTTTTCTTCAACTTTCTTCGATAGTTCGAGTCAATTCAAACTTCCTCGTTTCGTGTATTTGCGGTGGAAAAATATTCAACAGGAATGTGGATTCTACAACGAATTAATTAATTCCTCCGGATTTTTATGAAAAACGGATTTACATGACCCTGAATAATGCCAATGATTTTTCCGCCGATCGAGCAATGATTTACGATTGCATGTGGGTCAATGGTATCGATGCAAGAAACACCTTAAAAAAATTACTCCATGAATAACGAGATTGATTCTAGGCGCAATTTTTATTTTCTCCTCTCACTTTTTTATCATTCGTGTGGATTTCTTCGAGGAATTCACCATTGAGTCTTGTCACGAAGTACGTGATCAACAATTGGAATGCGTTATTATAAGACCAGAGTCTTTGTCGTTAATCCCCATTTATCAGTACCAAAAAAACGCACACACCCTTGCCAAACGGAGACATCAGGCGGAATCACCTGTGCACATTAATAAAATATGAATGACAATCCTTTTTTTCTGGTATTTCATCGTAAAAAATAAAATTATATCGGAAGGATCATCACTCCCACTCTCATCAACAAAATATGAGTAACAATCCCCCATTGCGGATCTTCTCATACAAAAAATAAAAAAAGTAGACTTTAAGGAACTCCAGAAGCTACTCGCTGACGAATCAATGATTATTGATGCCCCAACTCCATCAATATTAATCCCTCAATCATCTCGAAGTCACGAGAATGTCTCGTTTCACGTGAATGGTAAAAACCGTGCGACATAATAGTGGAATCTGGGATAAATAATTCATCAGTGTTGAATCCGCTCCAGGATCTTCTGGCGTGTGGATGGTCTCATTGATGACGGTTCATCAATATTGGATGATGGAAAAACATTTAGATGGAAAATAGGAATATTATCGGTATCACGGTCGAGTGAGGTTTCCGGGTTGACATTACTGATCTCCTTCCTGAGTCCACTGGACCTTCGGCCTAGTACCTTTTCGTCCTTCCTCGCGTGTTTCCTTGAGTATTACCGATTTTTCCGGATTAATAAAAGTCAATGGTGCATTAAATTATGGTGAATATTATTCAAGGATCTGTCTAGGCTTATTGTTGAGGCAGTTTCTCTTGTTTCTCATGGGTAAAAGTGAGGAGATGTCATTTTTTACATTGGTCACGTAATCATCGTTTGACCGAGTCATTTCGTACGTACTGATGTACTTTCCCTTTCCCTTTCCACAGGCAGGCACCAACGGGGGGTATTATTAGGTATTGGCAAGCGAAATCGATGCCTGAAGTGGTTCAGGGACAAACGGGTTATCTGAATGATATTTAATTATCTGTAAAAATTGGGTTTATCGGGTTTTCGTCGACCGCAGGTGGGCTGGTGGGGTGCTAATGGACACATTTGAGAGGTGTAAACTTGGGGAATTCAGTGGGAGATATTGGAATTACATGTTTCTAAAGTCAAACTGATAAATTTTATTCTCATGGTTCGATAATTATACGATTGTGTTGAAGGAATGTCGAAAGCCATTTTTTAATTTCAGTTCAGTCATTCATCATTTTTTAACGTGAAATTTACGAAATAGTCCATTTCTCAATGAAATTTATTTCTCATTTTGAGGGTGAAAATTGAGCTGTGCTCATACCAAGGGGTCATACCAGCTCCGAAAGATCGGTAATTGTGTCCCCATTCGCTTCATCATGTTCCACTTGCCCCAATTTTCCTTTCAATAAAGACAATTAGAAATGCATCATTCGATATATTGATGTCAATTGCCGCAAGTCATATCAATAAACCCCGTCGTCATCAGATGAAATGAATTTGTCAACGAGAGACCATCTTATCTCAGGGAATTAAATACTCCCGAGCCAGGAAGTTATGGTGAACATTGAAAAATATAAAAAGATACATTGAGAGTCTCGACGCGTAAAAAATGGTCGACCGCAAGGTCATAAATGTGTACGTGGCCCAGGCAATTTTTTTTCTCCTCTTCCTTTTGTACTCATGAATGCGAGACGAATGTTTAAATACAGAATTTCTGAGAAAACCCTTTACACATGGATTTACGTTGGCAAAGCATTTCTTCATTGTTATTGAGATACGGTTATCATGAACGTCTCTTTCGTGTCTCCATTGTTTCCTCCCAATGGTTTTTCCATTCTCATGACACAGTAAAAAGAAAAAAAAACTTTGTTTTCGGTTACACGAAGTCGATCTGAGCGTGAATGTGAGGACAATTTTCTGGATTAGTTTGACTTTGACAGAGGGGAAACTGTTTACGTGATGATAATACTGGTAGCGAATTTTAATGTTGGACTAGTCTGCGGAACAGGTTAAAAAAAAAATTTTTTTCGTCGGTTTTTTTTAGGTTTCGGTCAACGATGCCGACTTCAACCTTCTGTGGATGGGAAGCCACCCGAAACCGGACGTTCTGAGGAGCCTAGCACCGTTCCAAAAAATTAATCACTTCCCGAGGTAAACCAAGAATGTTATTGGCGAGCGATTGAGGAACAGGATGAGTTTATCTAGAGTGGAGATTATTTTTTTGTCGAATATCTCGGAAACAATCAGAGATAACGAAAAATTTTTTTCGTGACTTTTTTTTAGAACATTATAAGAGCTACAAAAGAGGTCTGAATGAAAATAAAATCTGTCTCTATTAAATTTCGAGATATTCCACAAAAAACTTTTGAAGCCATGTTTTGGTGAATATCTCTAAATCTACGAGACTTCTGTATTTTTTTAGAAATGAATGTAATTTGGAAAAATGAAAAAAAAAACCGCCGGATGTTGGGTTTGAACCCACGACCCTCAGGTTACCAGTTCAAGCCTCTGCACACATGGCTATCTACTGGGCGCCTTAAGCCGTGACTTTTCGATGATGAAATTATTTATAAATCTGCTCCAGATAGCGAAGTTTTCATTGAGACCTTTTTTGTAGCTCTCAAAATTCTCTCCCAAAAAATCCCTTACATAATTTCCCTTATCCCCCTTGAATCAAAATTGCCCCATCCTGTTTCTCCTTTCCATTAATTCATCAAAATCTCTCCACTCTCATCATCCCTAATCTCCGCATGCTCCAGATCCTACGAGATAACCCGAAAAGACCGCCTCTACAAGAACATCGAGGCAATGCAACGAAGCAAAGGTCTCCGTAATCTGGACTTCATCCCCCAGACATTTTTACTCCCCAGTGAATCCCGTGAGCTGCTGACCGCACACTTCAGGTACCGGGGGCCCTGGATCGTAAAACCAAAAGCGAGCTCCCGTGGTCGTGGCATCTACATCGTCAACAGCGTAAGTATCCATTCAGAAAGCCCAAAGAAAAGATCCCGATGACTCATGCATGAGAAGGAAAAGCCAATAACTTGTGGTTTTCTCGCAGCCAGAGAAGATATTCACTGAGGAATCAGTCATTGTGGCGCAGTACATCAACAATCCCCTGTTGGTAGATGGCCACAAGTGCGATCTACGTCTCTACGTTGCTGTCACAAACTACGATCCACTGCTCATTTATCTGTATGAGGAGGGATTAGTCAGATTCGCTACAGTCAAGTATGAGGGTGGCAATCAGTATGTCTGGAATCCCTGCATGCACCTGTGTAATTACAGCATCAACAAGTTTCATGTTGATTATGTCAAGTACGTCATCACATTTATAGTGGGAGTTGGGGGGATCCAGATTTTTTCCGATTTTTTTTCTTGAACGTAATAGAAGTCATAAGGGCGACGAAGGTCAAAAAGTTGTTTGATTTCTACATTTTTTTTTAGAAATTAATAGAATATGAATTTGGAAGAATGCAAAAAATCGCCGGAGGTTGGATTTGAACCCACGACCCTCAGGTTTCCAGTTTGAGCCTTTACACATGTGGCTATCCAATCGGTTCATTAAACTATGATTTTTCAATGATGAATTCAGTAGTGAAGCGGTAAACCGAGTTAAGTCGATTTTGACTTTTGATCAGTTTTTGATGAATATCTCAGAACCTAAGAGAGACAGCACAATTTTTCTCATGACCTTTTTTGTAGAACCGATTAAGAGCTATAAAAAGGTTATAACAAAAATTTTTCTATCTCTTTTAGATTCTGAGATAATCGTCAAAAACTGGCCAATAGTCAAAATCGACTTGACCCGGTTTACCGCTTCGCTACTGAATTCCATCGAAAAGATTACAATGTCGGAAATCTTCAACATTGTAAGTATTTTCTTTGAGGAAATCTGTCATTGACGAAAGATAGTGCAAATATGGATATTTCCTCTTGAAATTCATCTCATTTTGGCAATCCCTTTGTCTCCAACCAGTTAAATTCACGCGAAAGCTTCGAATAAAATGGCATTCCTTCCTGAATTCTCATCTTACAATTCCCACCCAGGAGTGAAGATCCGGACGCTGAAGACGTGGGTCACAAATGGACCCTCTCGGCCCTCCTTCGTCACCTCCGTTCAATGGGTCAGGACACAGAGCTCCTGATGCAGAGAATCGAGGATATAATAATAAAATCCATCCTGGCGACAGCCTCTGGAATCGTTAGTGGAGTGAAGCAGTTCGTAAAACATCCGGAAACGTGTTTCGAGCTCTACGGTTTCGACATTCTCATAGACGACACCCTGAAGCCCTGGCTGCTGGAGGTCAACCTGACGCCGTCCCTGGGCTGTGACTCTCCCCTGGACGTTCGATTGAAATCCGCCCTGATGGCGGATCTGCTGACCCTAGTGGGTCTCCCAGCAGTGGATCCAATTCTCAGACCCCAGAACTCCCAGAGCAGACCCCTGGGGAATCCCTCCAAGAGGCTAGCTAGTCACAGAAGAGTCAATTCAGCTGAGGGTCTCAATACCAAGAAGCGGAGCCCTGTGAAGCCCTCCAACAGGTCTGGCTTCAATTATTAAAACGACTTTTTAAACACTTGAATTCAATTCTTTTTTTTTTCGCTTCGAAAACTTTTTTTCAAGTGCGGAAACGAAAAATCTATAAATATTTTTATGGACACATTAAAACCGCAAGTACAATGTCTAAAGCTCGAGATATGAATCAAATATGCGTTCTTAATTTAATTTATTCCTGTGTTGTTGAATAAAAACATGAAAAAAAAAAACAGGTCTGGCCTCAGTTCGGAGCAACTGAGGATCGTGGCGTCAGCGAAGGCCCAGTTCGAGAGGCGTGGGGGCTTCGTCAGGATCTTCCCGAGTCCAAAGTCATGGGAAATGTACTCGCAATACCTGGATCCAGTCACGGGGATTCCTGTGGTGACAGATCCCCTGGGACCTGGCAGAGTCCCTCAGGGGGTCAATACTAATTACAATCTGATGCTGCATGAACAGTTGTTTCCAGCTGCCAGCAGAACCACTGGGTTCTCAGTGCCTGAGGTGACCTTGGACAGATTGTCGAGGTGATTTAAATGGGATTATGCGGAGCATCTGGGGTTTATGACGTTTTTTAATTGGGTTTTTTTTTTCATTTCAGGTATGAGAGGTACGAGAGAGCACTGGTTAGAGGACACAAACAGAGTCTAGATCGGGGGGATAGCAAGGAGAATATTGATGTGGATACGCATAAGTATAAGGACCAAGTCACTCAGATGATGCAAGAGGGAAACAAGCTCAGGTAATTTTCTTGAAGTGATTATGAAAATGAGATGAATTAATTTTTCTCTATTTTTGTTCTAAATTTTTATCTACTTGTTTTTCATTTCTTCGTGCATTTAGTTATTCATTTATGTATTTATTTACATATTTATTTATTTTTATATCAGGTTTTGGTGAATATCTGAGAATCTAAGCAAGATGGAAAAATTTTTATTCAGACATTTTTTCTACAGAATTTTCATGAGTTACAAAAAAAGGTCTGAACAAAAATTTTGGTATCTCCATTGGATTTAGAGATGTATCATCATTTAATTGATGAATTCAATGATTTTCGACATCTGAATTGCAAATTAAACGGGTCCTTGATTCATTTTCAGTCCCGGAGAGGCGAGAAAAGCCTTCGGTCTGTACTTAGGATGTATTCTACGTAAAATATCCCAACCAAGTGCTGATTCTGTCTGCTGTGACCTCGTCATGAAGTTTCTGCAGCAGTCCTCCAGTAATTTACGAACGCCATTCCTCTTCACTGTACGTGATTTGCATTCTTAAGACTTAATTATGAGTCGAGAAGTTTGTTGTGTAATTTTTCAAGGGCTCTTGAAACTTCTGGGTGATTAAAAAATTACAGGTCATGATTTTTTTATCAATAGATACCGAGTAACAAGTTGAGCGACAAGGATCGTGCAGCCATCACTGCCAAGCAGCTGTCTGATTTTTTGCATCTGTATAATCGTGAAACTGATCTTTATGCCGATACTGTTGACAGACCTAGGACTGTACCCAATAGATTATTTCAGAAATTTCTGACCTGTGCGAGGTTAGTAACAATTTTTAACATTTGCATTTATTTGTGATGATTTTTCCATTTAAAATTTAAAGTGTTTAATTTAATTCTTCATTTCGAACTGAAAAAAAAATTGAAAATTTAATTTTTTGTTGAAATCCCCTAAAACAATTGGCAAATGTCAATGAAAAAAATCCTCTTCATTTATAGAAATTATCGTTTTCTTGAAAAAATCTCAAAATAACTCAAAAATTGAAATTTTTTTTATTTCGAAATGAAATAATTAATCACTTCTCATAATTACTCCAGTGAAGAGGACCTCGACGACGTTCTGATCCTCCAAACAAAGCTCTACAACTGCGCCCACAGTTTCCTGGGAAGAAGTGGCTTCGCAGGGAACCTCCGAGGGAGCAATCTCCTGGGTTCCCTGCCCCAGATAACGTCCCGAGTCCACTCAAATGCAGCGACCTCAGAGCAGTGCAAGTGCACCCAGCCGAACAGTAGACCAAGTAAAGCGCCTCGCACGTAAAAAAATCCTAGGGCCCTGTTAACTTCATCCCCTCGATAATTAGCTGATAATTTTAGGAGTAAGTTTATTGATCGGAGGATACGGTTGAACCGTCCACACTCGATTACCTCGTCAATCAGGGCTAATTAAGAGTTGAAGCCAACAACGACAGCAAGGCCTAGATGTCAAGCACGTTGACATCGACAATCTTTGGGAATATTTTAAGCTGAATTATTCATTTACATTTTCACAATTTTTTCGTGTGGTGCTAGTTTCGAATCGATGTTTTTTAAGAATCCTAGGTACTAATTGCTAATTAAATTCAGTAATTATTTGATTGTTAATGAAGTAGTGGAGTGGTACAACAGTTGGAACGAATAGACTCCACTTTTTACTCAGAAAAAGTCGAGTAAAATCATTCTGCACCACTGAATTGTTAATAAAACAAAGAACATTTTGAGAAATTAACAAATTGCACAAAGTAGTTGTCGGCCTAATGATTTGTGTTTTGTAAAAATAATTATGTGGCCTAGTTTCGATGGTGCTTAAGCTCTGGCTATCTATCAGTCATGTTTATAATCAACCAATTCACTTCCATTGTAGTCTGTTCTATTTTTATTTATTTTTTATTCTGTTGTTCTGTGGATAATCAACACCTAGTCATGAGCAGAAGTGATCAATGTGATTGAGGTACGGGAGATAATTTATTGTACTGATTAATTATCGCTTGATTATATTTTTGAGAAAACACAGAACATGTTGATATAGTATTTTTGTGCTGTGATACGAGAGTTTTTCATGAACAACTGCGCTGAGAATTAGATAATCCTAGGGATAACTGCACGTTTGTTTGGATTCAATAGCACGATTTTGATATTATTTATTTGAAGAAAAACATCTAGGGCTTTTTATTTCTTTTTTTTTTAATATCGTTTTATACTTTTGTTAATTTTTTTTATTTAATCGGAGACTTTACGTGCACGTTATCATGATTTTAACAATCGGATGCTCTTTGTATTTAGTGTTGTCGCACAATATTTATTCATTTTAGCAATTATGAGGGAGAAAGGAGCGAAAATTTAATGAGTGGGAATTAATACAGTTTTTTTAGCAGTTAATTATTCAGAAGGAAGATTGTGGGGGTGATGGACGAAAACAGCTCAGCAATTTTGTAATTCAATAATGAACAATCCTCCCCTATACTGCCTCTACTTAATAAAATTTAATGATTGATGAAATTCAACGATATGTGGCAAATTTATCGCATTCACTCGGCTTCTGTGCAGTCAGAGTTGTCCTTCATTCCCAGATGAATCAATGAGAAAGTAGAAAATTTCGAATTTAATGAAGACATGTGTAAAAATGAACATTGAAATGATTTTGTTAATAAAAGAATGCAGCTGAATTTTGCCTCAATGATTCAACGATTGATTCACCCCTGTGAAGGTATTATTCAACGTGAAAGAAGGTCGTTTGACTTTATAAACAAATAAGCAGCAAACCCATTTTTTATACGCTTTAATCATTTATTTATTGAAATATTCAACGTACGTATGTATACAAGACACACCCACCAGTCACCAATAGAAAGTTTTATTGCAAAAGGAATGGAAAAAGAAGATCAGCATTTCTCAACAGTATTTACAGTTGGAAAATCCCTTAATAATAATCCATTAACATCACAGTGTTTAACACATCGTTTCTGATGATGAATTTCAATAGTTTGAAGTGCTTATCAACATTACTGGAAGCCTTGCTTCATGGAATTACATTTGGAATGTACATTTACTCCAGAACAACTAGATTAAGCTGATTCAGTGGGAAAAAGAACAGCTACTTCTTAATTCTACATTAATCGATGAATTATTTTCTTAAAATGATGTCTTCAAAGTAATAGTTACGTAATTTTATCTCTCATTTCATTCGTCATTATCTTTAATCATAGAACAGTCTTGGGCTCTTCGAGCCAACGTTCAACGACTTACTAAATTACGAGAGAACATCAAGAAACTTTAACAGGAAATTCAATTCCCCATGTACATCTCCTGACATCACGAGATAAATAAACAATTCAGAAAAAAATTAAATCAACTTCTCATGGTTTACCACGCATCCTTACACTCGATCATCAATGAGTAAAAAAAATGGGGAAATGTTTAAATCTCGTCTCTCAATTTCTCATTCTTCCTCTCGTTTTTCTTCTCAGGCTGTTCTTTCACCGGTTTAACGTCGGGCTGCGCCTTCTTCTGCTGAACAGGTTTCTTAGGGGGTTGAGTCGTCGTTGGTTTTGGAGTAGTTGTAGTCGGTTTCTGAGTTGTTGTTGTAGGTCGAGGAGTTGTTGTAGTGGTTGTTCTTGTTGTTGTGGGTCTAGGAGTCGTCGTCACCTCAGGAGTCTCGACCTTTTTCCTCTCCTTCTTCTCGATCTTCTTGAGCCCAGGAAGAGCCTTCTCCAGAGGAACTCTAGCTAGATAGTCATTGGAGAAGGATCCCAGCCAGAGGTAGCCATCGTGGGGGAAGGCAGAGGTGATTGTGTTTATCTGTCCATCAGATGCCTGCAGGACGTCCAGGATGTGGCCGTGGGGATCGATCCTCAAGACAGTTACAGATTTCTCCAAGAGAAATGCAGAAGACTCGAAGTGTCCAATGGAATGAATGATCTTCTTAGAGTAATAATTCGGGTACACCTGCTCCAGGAACTTGAAGGGCGCCTCCAGGATCCCCAGGAGTCTCAGGACCATCTTCCGGAGGTAGGGGTGGGGCGCCAGGGACTGGACCAACTGGGGATGCTCCTCATCAGCTGATGTGGGCAGAGCCACCAGGAAATTACCCTGACCATCGCTGTGGATGTTGTCTGGAAGTCCTGGCAGGGATTCTATGAATATCTCACTCTTTCCAGCCTTTGGACCCTTCAGGTGGTACTTGTGAATACGGGATTTACCGAGATCTGCCACTAAGAGGAAGGACTCGTCGTCGGAGAGTTTTAAACCGTTAGCGAAACTCAGTTTGTCCATTAGGACTTCGTTCCTCTTCGATGCTGCATTGTAACGGATCAATCTGGTGGAGGTAATTGACGTGAGTGAGAGGAGTGCTATGTTTTTCTTTGGGGGGGGAAGGGGTCACGAGGGGTGGGGGGATTCCCTATAGATTTTGAAATTCTCAAGAAAAAATGTCTTGACAAAATACAATCTATCTCATTTAGATTCCTAGATGTTTACCATTTTCATATATTGATATTTACCTTCCGGAGGGATCAGCCAGCATCGCAAAGATTCCATCGTACAGTTTGAAATCACTACTGGAGTCTGTCCAGTACAGATCACCATTCGACGTTACATCAATGCTGTTCGGGAGCATTGGTCTCCTCCCACTGATCGGTTGGGCTGGATCCACAATCTTCTCGTACTTCCCTGTCTTCACGTTGACTTTGAAAATACCGTAGTATGCGTCGGCGACGAAGAGGTTTCCCTTCTTGTCGAATTTGAGCCCCAGAGGACGTCCACATTTCTCTTCCTCCCATAATCCGTCTGTCGATGACGAGTATTAATTATCTCTGAGATTTTATAGGTTTTCAGATTCAAGGAGAGTTTTGGGGGATTTAAAGAGAATTTAAAGAGATCTGAAAATTGGATGCAACGAGTTTTTCAATTCAATTACGTGGAAAAAATTATTCAATCGACTCCTGGGAAAATTGTGAGAATGAATTATGTCAAGTTAAAATTAATTTAAAGATTTGAGATTAATTGTTTGAAAATTATTTACGAAAGAGTAGAAGTACTTCTCAAAAATATTTTCTGGTGGTGAAAATGAATTAAATCAGACCTTTAGAGTTGAAAGAATAAAATTGTAGCAGAATGTTCGGTAATCTAGGGTCAAGTGGGGCTTAAATGGAAGATTGGATGATGATGGCTGTTAGTCTGCAGATGTTGCGGCGACTTAAACGAGAATAAAAAATGGCCAGAGGACTCACCACACTTTTTCCCGAATTTCACGACCTCGACGAGTTTGTTCCCCACGAGTTTGCTGACACTGCCCCCATGCAGAGTCGTGTACAAAACTCCATCATACGCATCGAAGGCCTCAGGCCCCTTGATTTCACCTTTGAACAGCTTCTCCGCTCCATTCAGCCGACCATTCGGTTCTTTGTTAATTCCTACCGGAAGCTTGAATCTGTGACGATGAAAATGCGTCGCGTATTTCAATTGCAAATGCGGGGAAATCATTAGTTAGTGATAAATCGTTGAAGCCAGTAGAGAGCATAATTCGTTTATGATTCCCTGCGTAACTCTGAACATTTTTTTCCATAAATCCATTAGTCTCGAGTGATTTACGAACTAATATTGATAAAAAAATGAAGGATAAAATTTTTTCAAGAACTTCTATCTCAATTATCTCGGAAACTGTTGGGTTTAGAGGAAAATGCAAAAGGAAATGTTTTTAAAGAATTCTATTCTCCACAGAAATTGTCTTGTCACATTTTTTGCTAAACCCAGTAGTTATCGAGATATTTTCAAATTACTCTGATGAAATTACAAAAAATCAGAATATCTCCCCAGCTCAGGTTTATCAAGAAATGATAAGACATTCTTTGCAAAGGATTTAACTCCCTCAAAAAAACAGGTACAATATTTTTGCCTGAACCTCAGCAATTTTCAAATCAATTGAAAAAAAAAAACAAAATCAAAACAAAAAGTTGAAATGTCTCCATCATCTATCGCGAATACCCCAAGATCTATTGAGTTTATCGAAAAATGTCATAAGACATTTTTTCTAGAGAATAAAATTCCCCACAAAAAGTATCTTATCAAATTTTCCCCTAAACCCACTCCTTCGCCCATTATCCACGGAAAACCCCATAAAAATCCCCTCCCAAAAGATCGTGAAAACTCACTCATAGGACCTGGTCTCGATGTTGGGTGGCAGTCCAGGGATATAAGTAATCGCCGCCAGGAATGTCGCGATGTAGATGAACGAAGTGCCAACTGATTTGAGAAAGCCCATGTTGGCCTTGAGACACGAATGCACGATCAAAGTTCAATCTCCTTGAACTTGCGAGACCCTGAAGCCCGAAAACGTCCATTGATTAAACAACACTTCAAAAAGAGACCGCCCCTAGACCCCTCGAGTGCCCCTGCCCCTCTTGACCCTCGAGAGCCCCCCCCAGACCCACAAAAATAATCTCCCAGATAAGAAAAGCAGTCGAGAATCATCAGAAATGGCAGAGGACTAACCAAAAAATTCCAAAACAATTGACAAGACTCACGATAATCTCCAGCCCCAGTCCCTCAGACGTGTTTTACCAGCTACTTCAGCCTCTGCACTAGTTTCTACTCCTCAACCTGCAAAAAATACGAAAAAAAAACAGAGTTGACCTTTAATCACTCCCTCCCCCCGAAAACCCTTGACAGAGGAGCACAAGCCGGTGAAGACCGAGAGTATCCCCTCAGAACGTCAATATCTCTGAACTCAACGATGCGATTTGTAAAAATCTAGTCTCATTTTGAAGATCGCTTTTCACTCTTCAAAATGAGAAAAAATTCTCAAAATTCACTCAGCGGTTCTCGAGTTATCGCCGATGGAAGAAGGCCCGCCCCACTCTCCCCTGACTCACCTCGCGCCAACGACGTTCGCCTGGCGACTGCTCTCGCCGTGAAATCGCAACGCAAAACTGAGTACGTGTAACTGATCCCAGAATAACTACATAAACCGTCCGAGGAAATGATCGATCCTGATACCGAGGGGAGAGGGAGACCACAACAAAATGATACTGAAATGAATTCCCGTCTTCCAAAATCGAAAGCGATTGGATCGGGGAAAACAGCAAGACCTGATGTTTTTTTTCGCGGATTGGGGGACTCCTCCCACATTCCCCGGTGCCCAGGGACCGGTCTACCCGATGCAAAAGGAAATAAACACGGGGAGAGTCGATATCACCTGGAGATGTGGAGAGGACGTTGCATGGGGATTGTGTAACTAACGTGGTAACGGTTGTTTTTCTAACGACCGATGACCTCAGAACCGGGAGGAGTCTAGGATCACTCCGGACGTTATCCTCGGGCGAAGAAAATCAAGAAGAAATTCAGTAGTGAAGGGGTAAAACGGTTCAAGTCGACTTAGGAGAGAATGCGGTAAAACGGCCCCTTTTGACTTTTTCAAAAATGTTAACAGCTCATTCAATTGGAAATTAAATGGAATAATTTTTTTCCCATGGAAACTACACTTCTTCCGCTTTAGAATGAGCCTAGACTGATCTCAATTAATGAATTTGTTCGAGAGTTATGAGGATCAGAAAAAAAGTCAAAAAAAGGCCGTTTTACCGCACTCTCCCTTATCTCTTAGTTTAGTTTTTGAAGAATATCTCCGAATCTAAAGGAGATAACGAAATTTTCGTAATAACCTTTTTTATAGAGCAAATTGAGCGCTACAAAAAAGGTCCTGAGAAAAGTTTAGCTATCTCCCTTAGATTCCGAGATATTCACTGGAAAATGGCCAATAGTCAAAATCGACTTGAACCGTTTTACCACTTTGCTACTGAATTGATGGAGTCTCGAAGCTTTTTACCGAACACTTGAACGAGGCCGTAAAGAATGAATGTTGAGATAATGTAGTTATGAAGAATTTAGGTGTCAGCATCGTATTACGTATTACAACGTGAGAATCGAGGTAATTAATAAGTGGGCCACGGTTTTTGATAAAGTGGAATTGAACTCATTTTTAAATGTTTTTATCATTCTAATTGAATGGGCTGGTATGACTATTATATTCAGTTAATTGATTCTTGGATCGAAATAAGACGTTAAACTTTGAGATGGAAATATATAAACTTTAGTATTGCGACTTATTGTTTGTATATTTAATTTTTGAAAACGTCACAGTATCTTAAATTGTTAATAATTCATTGAATTGTTCTAATAATTCATTAAATGAATGATAAAATAAGTCGTTAAATTATTTTATCATTCATCTCTGGAAGTTTAACGATATTTACTTTGGTAATCATCACGAAATGATTTTGTTGACACCAACACGGGGAAGAGAATTCTCTTTTCCTCAAAGTAAACGATGAAAGGAAAATATTGAAACGAGTCTTGCTTCCGTTGGAAAATTCACGTTTCATGGTCATTGATATTTTTATGAAAAATGTATCCTTGAAATCCTTCTCCACATTTATTTTGATCTTGAAAAAGTTTGCATGTTCAGTACTTGTTGCAAATTTTCATGTCACACACGCGAGCCTGAAAAATTCCATTCATTATTCATGCAATTGCATTATAACGTTGACGAGGGTTTCTTGTGGTCATTTGACAGTCGCCAGAGCTGATCGTTAATCATTATGGTTGGGGCCTCGTGGTAGCCTAATGATTCTATTAGGCTAAAATATGCTAATGGTTTATTGATAATTCCTGAGCCTCACAATTTTGCGAGCTATCTATTCTGTTGTTACTCATTTTCAAAGAAAATTAATGATTTATTCATTGCGTTTTTAAATTATTTTTCGTTTTTTAATAGAATTAATAATTATAGAATCATTATAGAATAGTAGAATTAATCATTTAATAATTATCTTTATTTTTTCAATAGAATTTCATTCTGTTGAGATATTTCAGAGAGAGAATTCTCTTTAAAAAAATATGAAGTAATGAAATCAATAAAAATTCATAAAAAATTAATTGCATTGATACACAAAAAAAATCGCTGAGAATAACTGATTAATTGATTCAATGAATAATTGAATCAACAACTAATAAACAAATCAATCAATCAATCAAATAGATAAATTATTTGATCTTAAGTGGAAAAAAATGTCAACCTATTTTTTTGTTCAACCGTTGAAATTCGCTGATTTCCTTTTTTAATTAGGTGGAGTCCAGAGTAATTAATGGAGTTTGTTATTAGAGGTTTACATGTAGTTTTTAGTTGATTGAAAGTAATGGCATGTGCTGTAATTAATTGCACGCAGCCTAGGGTCGAATTGAAAAGTTAAATTCCCTCTATTGAAATTCTTTTGAATTTTCATTTTTTTTGGAGGTCACCGGTTCCTGGAAGAACAATCCGATTATTCCAGTGATGACCACTGGAATGAACTGTCGCTGGTGTCTGTCCATGGCATCATGGAGGATCTTGAATGAGAGTTTTCGATTTTGTCCAACGGTTTTCTGAGGATTTCGACGGTTTCTGGGTTTATTTGAGGCTTTTGTTTTGATTAGAAAATTTTTTTCGGCTCGTGAGGCCCTTGGGTTCGACAGGAGATTGAAGGATCCTCTGGGTGATGAGATGGAGGTTGATGCAGAGCCTGGTGAGCACACACTTGTGGATTTCATTCGTTTACATTGAAACTAGAGGAAAAGGTTCTCTGAGATCATTCCTTAATCATTAATATCCCCCGAACAAATAATCCGATTTCGATAAATCAGATTTCATTTTGAAGCCTGAAAAAATACCTTCAAAACGAGAAAAAATTAACGTCGAATTATTGACGAATAAATAAGGTTTTTTTACCTACTTCTATTCTAAGTCAATTTCACTTGGGAAAAAAGTTTCAGTTTTTTGAGAATATCTCTGTATCCAAAAGGGATAACGAAATTTTTGTTAAGACATTTTTTGTAGCTCTTTAAATTCTCTACAAAAAAGGTCTTTACAAAAATTTCGATATCTCTCCAAGATTCAAAGATATTTATTAAAGAATGATCTCATGATAAAATTCAACTAGACTTTTTTGTTCGATGACTCGATAAATCGCCTCAATCAATCAATATTTAAAATTATTTTCATGTGATAGATCTGGAACAGCAATGTGATGATGCAGTCTTCGAGCTGTGTGACACCAGAGAGAGATATCCCCAAAAATGTGCCGAGGAGTTAGCTAAAACCTTACGACTGACAACACAAATCAACGTAAAAGAATAACGAAAGAACTTCATTTTTATTTTCCACAAAGAGGCAAATGAGTCAGTTAGACCCAAAAAATAATTACAATGAGTAAATCGCCTTGTGTACATGAGTTGAACATAAAAGCTGCTGACTTTAGTATTTATAACAGAAGAAAAAATAATTGAGAACTGTTTAGAACAGAAATAATACTCCAATGATTCCTTTCAGAAAGCTCCAGTGATAATGAAGCCCTCAGGCCCCCTGAGACCCCTAGAAATAACTGATGAGCAACGAGAGCTCTTCCAGTCCATCATACCCATCACAAAAGACCGGGCAGACGATCAGAAAGCCTTGAAAACTGATCTAGAAACAATGTTGAAGACTGTCAAGGACTTGAAGACAGTCGTGGAGCAAGTGAGGAGCACAGAAGACTGTACTATTGACAATATCCTCAAAAAAACAGATAAAGATCAACATTGATAATACTCGATGATAATTGATTACTAATTTTAATTAATCAATATTAATATGATAAACAATAAACTTATTATCATTGAATACGTGATGAACAGTTGTTCCATATATTTATGTGCCAATTTAATGTAGTGCTCGACGAGTTTTAACAGAAATTGCCTCCGACCACTTTTTTATATAATTTATCACATTCAATTCTAGGCTGACTGGGGAGGACAGGACAGTATTAACTCATTCATAAGTTGATTCATTGAATTTTTCACATCACATTTGATAGTAACCGATATAATTGTTGTGACGAGTTTCGAACTCACACCTTCAGATTATGGGACTGATGCTCCTGCCAACTGAGCTACGAGTCCTGTTTCATTCATTTATGAAGGGAATGAAGAGAAATCGGAAAATGTCTGAGGTATAGATAAAAACCCTCTCGTTAATGAGATAATTAACGATTAATAATTCCCTTGAATATTTTGAAAAGAAAGAGAAATATAAAAAACATAAGTAAAACTTTCAAACAGAGAATTAGATTCCCTACAAATAATATCTTTTGACATTTTCCTCTCAACCCACTAATTCTCGAGTTGAAAAAACCTTTCTAAAACCCTCAGATGCCTTAAAACCAAAAATTTTACTCTGAGAATTAAATTCTCCTCAGAATGAATTAGAAAGGACTCCTGCCCTCCACCACTTCCCACCCTCACCCCAATTATGCCACCCTATCATACACACTCACGTGAATACGCCCTTTTCCCCCCAAACCTAGACAAACTCCCAACGTCTAACCGTTGAACGACGACCCTGACACCCATGGTCATATCATTAACAAACTTCAACAGATTGATCCTCTCGTCCTCTTGATTCTCCTCTGGAAGAATTCGTCTCCTGGCAGCAAGTGTCCTCCTCCCCTCAGTCCCCTCCGAAGGTGCCTCTCCCTCCATTGCCTTGCCACCCCCCTTAAGCTCCTCATCATCATAAACGAGACTCCTCCTGGCCTTAGCAGACTTCCAAAGCGAGAGATCAATCTTCACACTCTCATTGGAGACGACCTTGGGACCGACCCTGAAGGTGCCCTCAGGACTCCTCTCAAAATGTTCGTCATCCATGAGAGGACTCGTCACCTTGTCCCTCGAGCAAAACCCCATGAGCCCCAGAGGGGAATGATTATCCCCCTGGAGGACCTCAGGGATGATATCCTCTTCCTCAATCCTCTCATCACCGTTCACATCTTCCGGACGTTCGGACCCCGAGGAACAGCTCGAGGAGCTTGAGGAAGTGATTCTGGATCCCTTCAAGTCTCTATCCCCCTCCACAACCCTTTCCCTCTGTTTCCTCATCCTCGAGTGAGGGAGAATGTCCTCTTGAGGACACGTAGACGTCACAGGCCCAGGATCATCGCCAGGAATGTCCTCCCCAGGGCCGAACAAAAATGGAAGCCTCTCCTGCTCCTTCTCCTTCTCCCTCTCCTGCCCCCCGGCGATCTCGATCTTCCCGACCAAGTTCTCCAGCTTCAGAAGGCTCGAGTTCACCAGGCACTCCCCCGTCCTCCCCTCGACCCTCTCGGAATTCTCGAGGACTTCATCGGGCTCCAGCTTCGTCTTCTGCTCGACGACAGTCACCGAGTCCTTGTCCTGCCTGATCGTGAACATGAGCCCCTCCATCACGAGGTCAGTGATGTCAGCTGATTTCGCGGTGGAGGTGTCAATTGGAGATGATCCAGGGGGTGGTCTCCCCCTCGAGGAAGTCGTGACCTCGTTGTTCTGGGGCTGGGGATCACTTTTCCTGGTGGTTGGGCTCATTTTCGCGACTTTCGCTTTAGTCTTCTCGATCTCTCGTTCGATCAGGTACTGGTAGGGCATGTCCACTGTCTCCTGGATGTCGTTGAGGGGCTCCTCGGAGTCGTCGTCAGGGGGTGGTGGGTCCTTCTGCTCGTGGAGGTACTTCTCGACGAGGGGAAGGGCCAGATCACCGAAGAATGACGCTGATTTCAATTTTTTCGGGGGTGTGGGGGGAAGGGGGGTGAGTCTCGTGGAAGAGTCCGTGGAGGAGTCGTCAGCTGGGGAGGGTCTGGGGGGGAGGGGCGAGGACTTTAAGGGGAGGGAGTCTGGGGAGGTGGTTTTTATGGTGAGGATGAAGGCGTGGGGGTAGGCTATGGCCTCTGGACAATCCCGAAATTTTAGCATTGCGAACATCTTGTCCTGGCGCGTCCAGGAGGACTGGTTGTAGGTCACCAGGAGGTGACGGGTGCAGAACTGCTGGCCCTGGCGCGGCTGGAGCTTTATTATCTTGCGGACGACTTTCATCAGCTCACGGGCGTGGGAGAAGTCCTGGGGGGATCTGTGATTTTTGGAGAATTTTGTGGATTAATGGTTTGATTGGAAAATTAACGAATGGATTTATTAAAAAAGAAAAAAAGATTTTGGAGAAAGTTTATTCCTCTCATAGTCATCAAATTCGTCTCATCTCGGTCATTTATTTTCTCATTCGTTTATTCATCTCATTTGGTTATCAAATTGAATAAACTTTGGAAAAAAGAATTGGAGAATGGAATAAAATTACGAAATTAATCAGTTTTTTTGGTAATGAAGCCTTGAGAATAAAAATAGGCAGATTATCTCACAAAAACAGGCTAAAATGACTAAATAAATCCGTTTTTGTGGATTTTATTCTCCAGACAATCACGAAATTAATTGATTCTGTATTCAAACTGTTTGGTTTCTCAGGAAAAGTAACTTCACCTCGTTGTTTTGTTATATTTAAACGTGAATTTGTAGATGTTCTGCTTGCAGCAGAGCCAGTAGGATCCTGGGACAGTTAGAGCAGGCTCCCTCTCCCGCCTGTCCCAACCACGGTTGCTAAGTGTTCGTACATGTATTCCAGGCATTCTCTCTCTGGCTTCAAGTCACGGAATAAGGGGACAAGCTTCTCGGCGTCTTTACCTCCAGATGAGTCTTTGATGATGAACGTTAAGTAGTATAAAACTCGATGCTGCAATGACATGATAACAATTCGTGTACTAAAAAAATTGAGGACACGAATTGGAAAATAACTATGACTTTTTTATAAAGAGGACTCACTCCAGTGATTACTTCATTGATGAACACATCCTTTACTGTATTCCAAGGTAAAAAAGTACTCGATTCGCAGCAGGACAACAATCGTTTACAGATTATTTGGACGCCAACAGATTCAACAACCAACAGAGTGTCTGGAAGGAAATAAAAATCGGTTAAAAAGGCAACAATTCTCTAAATGCTGCTGGCTCACAAAAAGATGAGACATTTTCTTTAATTCCTCAAATTTCCACACAAATTCCCCGTAGAAAATTCCCTCGAAAACCCCTTCAACCCCCCCATTCTAAAATAAAATCAAAATAAATGAATAAAAAGAAATGACAATTAAAATAAACAAAACGAAAGTCAATGATACAACTGAGTAATAATTCCAAAAATTATGTTGATAAAATATTTTAGACTAATTGCAGATCTGAGACCTCAACTTTTTATTCTGTTGTTGAACAGAAATTGTCTTTAGTTTAAGTAAAAGCGAATTCCTGTGAGCAAGGTGTGCCCTTAGGGGATTTCGTATCTCAGAGTACAATAAAATGCCCTCAATTCTGTGAAATTCTCTCAAAAGCAGCCAAAGTAAAGCAGATACGTGACTAAAAGTGAAAAAATTGAACTCAAAGAAAATTTTAGGTGGCTCTCACCAGTGTCAACAGTGGAGAGAATGCCCCAGGCCCTCAGTACCCCATAAACTCCAAGCAGACCCCCGAAAAGGACCCCCTGCCCGCAAAATCCCCAGAGTACCAGAATCACCAGCACCACAGGCACATCAACCCGAAAGCTCGTGCCCCTCTCCCCGTTCCTGATCTCGAATTGCACAACCCTGTGGTCCCTCCTGACCCCAGCGAGCTCTTCCCCAAGGACAATCCTGTTGCCGTCAACCCCGCGAAATACCTTGGGAGGAAGTGACGAACTCTCGTCGGCGTCAACAAGCCTCGACGACATGAATGACGAAACAGAGTCCTGAGGAGGCCTCCCCCAGGTCAGTCCTAACCAACAATGTCCTGTCCAACTTTAGGCGCCAAAGTCATCGTTCGGGGGATCAGCACCACCAGAAGCTACTTCAAACCCGGGGACGCGATCGAAGGGATTAATCAACTTGCTTAAATTTTTCGTTTCGATTTTTCGAGGGTTCAGGGACTCTAGGAGTCAGAGAGTCACTTTTAGCCTTGGCTCACTCTCTTCGGTGTCTTCGAGGCGTCACGTTCGCTGATTGGACATGAGTTACCTCTCATTTTTTACATTTTTTTCTCCGTTCTTCGGAAAAAAGCCATCGGATATGTGCATTCGTCGTTTTTTAATAGTTTATTGTTTATATTGAGGATGTGTAATGCCACAATCCTCATTTTCCATCATAATCCTCATATTTTACTGAAAATATTTATTTATAATTCTAGGGTAAAGGGTATCGGTCAGCTAGAATGCGATATAATCGTCAGGTAAGAGACGATGTCGGTTTACCGACATGTTTTCACGAGGGTCACAAGGGTCATAGCTGCGATGTCTGGTGGCCATTGTCTGTACTAAAAAAATGACCAACAAGAAGTTTATTTACACAATCGAGACGTGCAAAAACGTAGCAAATTCATTGTTTTGTAAGAAATTATCTTGAGTGAATACCTCAAAGATTAGTTTCTTGACTCCAATTTGTGTTAAACTATAAATTTCAGCATTCTCTTCTGAAAGTCGTGCGAGAAAAAATTCATCTCCTTATTTATGTTATTCATGAAGCCAATAAATAATAAGTAAACATAATGAAAAATGAATAAGTAAAAATAAATAATTTAATGAATGAGAATAAAACCCACACATCAATAGACAAATAGGTTTATTACACGTGGTGATAACCAACACTATGAATTTTTTACACACGTATGGCATATCCCCACCAGTCTACCCCATTATTCCACTCAAACGTCACAAAACAATGTCTCAACATCACCTGAGAATTCTATACATCTTTCATTTAAATTCATCTCTCATTATTCATCAGTATTGATTAACAACAATTGAGTGCACGCAATAAAATACAATTCACGTAATAATTGTATATCATTCTGGATACACTTGTCCTACTCGATTACGAGTATAAACCCTCTCTCGATATATCTATTTTACACTTTTTAAATTGATGATTTGGAGAGAATAGCAAAATACGAATGGAAGATGAGGAGAATTACCTGTTTAGTACCTTAAAAATTCAGATTATTTACACACGAATAAACAAAAAAATAATAACAAAAGGGATGATGACGTGGATTCAGTAGTCAAGTGAAATTTGTAGATTTCAGGACCCAAATGTTAAGTTATCTCGATAATGAGTGGGTCGAGGAAAAAGTGTCATAAAATAACGTTTATAGAGCATGAAATCCTCTTCAAAAAGTGTCTTATGACATTTTTCTTTAAATCTCTTCCTCTCGAAGATATTTCCAATTCTCAAATTTTGGAATTCAGAATTTTCGAAATACCTTCAAAACCACTGAATTTAGAAAAAAATGTCAACGAGATTTTTTGTACATTACAAAATTCTCTACAAAAAATGTTAGTGACATTTTCTCATAGGAGCACTCGTTAGCGAGATAAACTCACAGTCAACGATTCTCAGATTTAATTATCCCTTCACTTCACCACTGAATCAATTATCAATTAATTATTTCCCTAGATTTTCACGTTCTCAAAGTTATTTTCTCATTCCTCAATGTCTCAATGAGTGAACGCCTGCCAGAAGCGATCAGGATCGACGAAATCTCCAACTTCCCAAGACACGAATGCTTTTCCTCTTTTTTTTGCACTCAATTATTTTAGTCCTCCGTCGTTGGTACTGTGAACTTCTGGAGCCTTCTCTGTCTGAGGACCGTTGCTTCATCGTCTTGGTCCTGTAGAGTTGAGGAGGTTGATGGGGTTGGCTCACTGCCACCGCTGCTCGTGCTCGAGGCATTGGCAGTCGATGACGTTGGAACTGGGTCAACTGTGGGGAACGTGAAGACGAATCCTGGGGGTTTCGGGGGGTCAGGGGGGGTTGCGGCTGTGGAGGATTGGGGCTGAGGGTTTGGGGGACTCGTCGTTGGTGGCATTGGGATGCTGGAATCATAAAAAACATTTTATCATTAATTTCCAGTCAAATTATTGATTTTTTTGTGAAGAAACATTTATTCTACAGAATTTCATTTAAAAAAAAAATTAATTTCAATTTCTCTCTTTTTCGTATATTTTTAATTCTAAATCTTCAATGAAATGCCAAATTAATAAATAATAAATGATAATAATACGTCATAAGGAGAAGACATTTTAAATCTTGAGATATTTTTTTTGTAGATATTTACAAAATGGAATAAATACATTCATGAATAATGCATTAACTTAATGAAAATACTTACTTGGCAGTAGCTGCCGCAGTCTGATACTGATTCATCATGGCATTGGCAGCATCTAAGAGCAGCTGAACCCTCTGGAGGGTCTCTATCCTCGCCTCAACAGCCTGTCTCAAGTTTCCCTCCATCGCCCTGAGCTCGTCTTCACTGAGGGCAGTAAGATTGGGTGGTGGAGTGGGCACTGGTGGAAATGGGACGACATTTGGAAATGGTGGAGCGAAGAATGGCATTCCTTGGGGGGGAAATGGTGCTGTTTGATCGAGCGCAGCTCGGAGATTCGCTATGAGTCTTGGTTCTGGTCGTGAGCCTGAAATCAATTAATCGTCAGTAATCCCTCAATTTTAATTGAAATAAACTCATTAGAAAACGAAATTAACGATTTAAAAATGAGGAAAAATCGTTACAATAATCCAATTATTTTTTTCACTGATTAAATATCATTTCTTGAGTATCAAATGAGTTTTAAGTGCCTCAACAGTTTTTTTTCAATCAAGAAATTTAACTTTAATCGCAATAAATTGATTTAAAAGTGGAATTCACGAATTGAAAATGATAAAAATAATCATTTCAATTATTTAATTATTCATAAAATAAATGAAATGAGTTTCAAGTGTCCCAGAATTTTTTTCTCTCATAATTCCCCTGAATTTCGTCATTTTTACGTTTTTATTTCTCCAAAAAATTGAAAATAAATTGCTTTGAATTACCATCTTGATTATTAACTGGTGCCTGTCCCTGCTGAGGTATTTGATTCGTCCCCTGTCCCTGATTTTGCTGTCTATTATCGGCACTGGGTGTAGCAGGTCTGAGAATATTCAAACGACACGTGGGACACGTCTGTTGACGCTGGAACCACGATCTCAAGCACGCAGTGTGGAATATGTGATTGCAGGGGAGTTTTTTACTGGCTGAGACCATCTCCTCACGACAAATGATGCAGACATTGTCAGCAGCCGCCAGTTCCTCGGGTGTTGCGTCTGGATAGAACGTGTTCATGTTCCTGATTGCTCTTCGGGACATGACGATGTCCTGGAACGCTTTCTTGAAGGTTCTCATCGTGTAGTACATCGGTCGAACAGCGAATAAGGGGAGTGTGTAGAGTTTCACCATTACTGTGACGAAGGCGACGTAGAGGATGACCTGAAAATTATATTTTTAATTGGAATTCGTTACTGGGATAATTATGATAATTAGGAGGGGAATTAAAAAAATTATTCTTAAAAAAATGAGTTTGTTTTTTGAGAATATCTTGAGAACGAGTAGGTTTAGAGCAAAATGTGACAAGAACTTTTTTGAAGATAATTAAATTCTCCATAAAAAGTTATTTATGACATTTTTTCCTAAACCCACTAGTTTGCCGGACATTTGTGAAATATTCTCTTCATGAAATTTTCAATGATCAAGAAAACTTGGAAAAGTCATTTGCAGTAGTTTGCAAATATCTCCTAAATTAATGAGTTTAGGAAAAAATGTCACAGAACCTTTTCTGGAGGGAATTGAATTCTCTATAAAAAAGTGTTATGACATTTTTCTGTAAACCCATTAGTTTCCGAGATATTCTTAAAATAGTCTGCAAAATATTCTAGACTCTTCGTTAATTCAATTCTCACCTTAATTAACCCAATCACCAATTCAGTATACAGCAGCAAAACGGGTTTATTCTCCCACGGGCTCTCATTCTGCAGATCAATCGTATGCAGAATGTACTTGACACTGATATTCAGTACGACAGTCAACAGAATAGCATACTCAAACCCAAAGACCAATTGTACAGATGCACCTTTGGCTAGTGTAGAGTTGTAAGCATACTCGATCATAGTTAAATTGATGAACGATAAAAGAATGAGTAGTGTGGCGACACGTAAGTGAAAGAGCCACGTGATGACTGGACTCCTTTCCATCTGGAAAAATAGGAGAAAAAAATTCATCGACACTCCAATTTACTGTTGCGTTCATTTTTCATTCAACAATGGGCTTACGTAGTCGACTCTGTCCTCGGCAAGCCAGTGGAACGACTTGAGAAACAGTAATAACGTGAATAATGCAATGAACTTGGGACTGAAGTCATCCCTGAAGACTGTGAACGCAAGGCAGGTCTCGGTTACGGCGTACCAGGCTTTTTCCACGAGGTGCTGGGGGAAAAATACATTTTTAGATAACGACAAATGATTTTTTCATTATTTCGGTTTTTAATTAAATACGACAAGTTTGTTGGCTGAGAAAATGAGCTCTTGAACAATTCTTTCAGTCTTTTGCCATTTTTTAAACTGTGGGGTTAAAACCATTGTAGATATTGAAACACATCAGATAACACTTTTTGCAACTGCGGAAATTCCCCAGAAAAAATTCCCCTGATATATATTTTTTTAACAAGTGATAACAACTGATTCTGCATCAGTTTTAAATTTGCAAGTTACTGTTCATTGAATATCTCTAAAACGAGTGCAATTATGAGAGCAAAACACTAGACTAGACCTTGAATTTCCCGATAAAAATTATCTTCTGACATTTTGGCTGAAATGAACTCACTCGGAAGATATAAAAAATCTCCTGATAATAAAAAACAATTCCTCACCAGTTTCGTAATTCCCAAGTAACTAATTTCGAAATACCTTGAAAACCACTGGAGTTATAGAAAAACAACATGAGACTTTCTTTTAGCTTACAAAATTCTCCACAAAAATTGTTCTTTGACATTTTGCTTAAAACCCAGTCACTCCAAAAATAGAAGCAAAAATTTCTTGATAACAAGTAATTCTCCAACAATTTTGTGATTCTGATATTACTTCTTGGTAGATATCTCCAAGACCACTTGATTTATTTGAAAAACATAAGAAACCTTTTCTGTAGTCCTCAAAATTCCCCAAAAATGCCTTTTAACTCTTTTTCTAAACCCTCATAACAAACGTTTTCCAAACGGTTTAAAAATCCACAGTAAATTCCCCCATTCGTGTCTCCAAAACCCCTGGACACCTCAAAAAAAAAAAATTAAAACCCATTCTTTGCAGCCCCATAAATTCCCAAACAAAAAAAAAAATCCCCAAAAAAACAATTTGCACCACTTCCTGGACAACTCACCTCCAGTTCTGCGGCCCTCAGATTCCCAAAGAAAATCTTCCTCAAGAATGTGTTAGTCATGAAGACAATGATGAGACCTTGAACATAGATGACCTGAAACGACAACAGTGTCACAATATTGACAACCCCAGCCCCAGGAGACGTCCCCCAGGTCTCAATCCCCCAAACTTCCCCCATAACCCCGATGACCAAACAAGAATACAAATAAACAAAATAAACTCACAGCCATACTGGGATTCGACTTGGTTATGTAGACGACAGAAGGATAGAACTGTTTCTTCTGGTAATAAGCATTCCCAATAACCAAACACGTGAGTGCAACACTCACAAGCATTACCACAGCCGCCCGCATGTTGCTGACCCTCAGCTCACCATATAAACTCAAAAAAATTTCAATAACCGAATGACAATGGACTTGGAATTTAGCATACGCAAGCCAACTGGCCGCCGATATCACGCAACATTGACTGCTAGATAATGCTTATGGCTTGTGTTACTGTACGTTTTTTTTTTGACAACCGAGGTATTTGGCGCTGGGGGAGGTGCGGAGGTTCGTGGAAACTGGAGGACACTTACGTGTCGTTTGGTGAACAGCCAGTTACGCCCCCCGCCGGTCACTCGGCCAGCTCAGGCGACTGCCAAGTGGTAGAAACAGCCATATTTTCGAGGATTTTTCCGAGGGGTGGGGATTTCTTTGGAGTGGGGGGTTCTAGGGGAAAATGGTAGAGGACTTTTTTGCGGAGAATTTTGTGGGCTACAAAAATGATTATATGGAGTTTTTTGATCAATCCAGTGGTTTTGGAGATATTTATGAATTTGTGATGAGAGAATTCAGAAAATGTGAAGAAGGGATTGAATTTTTTTTTCACGTTGTTGAGGATGCGGCTATCGCCGGAGTGGGGGGTTCTAGGGGAAAATGGTAAAGGAATTTTTTGTGGGGAATTTTATGGGCTATAAAAATGATTTTATGGTATTTTTTGCTAAATACAGTGGTTTTGAAGATATTAATGAATTAGTGGTGAGAGAATTCAGAAAATGTAAAGAAGGGATTTTTTTTATGTTCTTGAGGATGGGGTTATCTCTGGAGTGGGGGGTTCTAGGGGAAAACGGTGAAGGACTTTTTTGCGGAGAATTTTGTGGGCTTTAAAAATTACTTTTTCATATTTAATGATAAATCCACTCGGTTTATAGATATTTCCCAAAGAATGATGATGGAATTTTTCAAGTAGTAAAACCACAATGTTCCATGAGCCCTGAAACGTAAAATTATCTCGAGAGTGAGCGGTTTTACGAGAAAATATGAAAAAACATTTTTCATAGACAATTTCATGATCTACAAAAAATGTTTATGATGTTTTCGTCTAAACTCAATAGCTCCCAAGATATTCGCAATAAGCTAGAGCCAAAATTTTCAAAATCCTGACGAATTCATCCAAAACTGTTCTTAGATGTTTTAAAATGCTGTGTTAGGGCGACGGGAAGTCAAAAATTCGGAAGGATATTTTTTTATAAAAGGGTTTTAGGCCCACAGAAGTGTCATCCGACATTTTCTCCTAGTCCCTCACTCTCGAAATAAAAGCCATCAACAAAAGGTCAATTATAGATTACCCAGCGAGCATTTAAATATGTCATGAATATATGCATCCCACATTTTCCCGGTTTCCCAATATCCTGGAACTTAATTTGGTCTTTCTGTCACGTTCAAACATATATATCTTTCTCCTTCCTGTATTTCGCAGAGTCATCGGAGTTTCGTTTCCTTTGAAAAGATCGCAACCTCGCAAAATGTTTTCTCTTTCAACACAAAAAAAAATGTGCTCATGTATTTGAAGAAAACGAAAAATACGGGAATAATGAAACATGTGGATGACTGCATAAATCATTCTCCAATCGTCAGATGTTTCTCAGTCGTAACCGATAATAATCAGAAGCCAAACATTTCCACGAGTTGTTCCATTGTACTCTCTCGTTACAATGCGGGTATTAGCAATTAAAAATCGTTGGCTTTTGTGACGTAGCTCGGAGTAATATGCTGGTATTCAACAATTCTTCGGAATATTTTTTAAAACATTCGCGGAATTGATAACTCTTGATACTTGTATCTGCAATTTTTTTCTCATCCATAGCGAGTTTAATTTGCATCGCGTTGTGAGTATTCCGTTGATATATTCCGAATTTTTTTAATGAAATTTATTCAACAATCGCAAATATTAAGCTTCGGTATTGCGCAAATATTTTTTTAAAGCAATCAATTCTTTTCGTCTTATTTTATGCAAATCTCAATTTTTTAATATAAAAATTATCTCCTACGTGAAAATCGTATTTTATTTACTATTCTACTTAAAAAATCGTTTGACATTTCCCACATGTTCTACCCCTATGCATTAAATTCACTAAAATCTCAATATTTTATGTCGAAATTCCTCAAAAATATTTTAATTTTTCCTCGAATAAATACATTTGTTGCTGAAATTCAGGAGTAATTTCTAATGCGAAGCATTTTAAATTGTGCAAATCCCAGTTTTTCAACATAAAAATTGTCTCCTACATGAAAAAATCTATTCTATTTACTATTCTACTTAAAAAATCGTTTGACGTTTCCCACATGTTCTCCTCAATTGACCCCTATGCATTAAATTCACTAAAATCTCAATATTTTATGTCGAAATTCCTCAAAAATATTTTAATTTTTCCTCGAATAAATACATTTGTTGCTGAAATTCAGGAGTAATTTCTAATGCGAAGCATTTTAAATTGTGCAAATCCCAGTTTTTCAACATAAAAATTGTCTCCTACATGAAAAAATCTATTCTATTTACTATTCTACTTAAAAAATCCTTTCACGTTTCCCACATGTTCTCCTCAATTCACCCCTATGCATTAAGTTCCATAAAATGCCAATATTTATTTCAAAATTCTTTGAAAATATTTTAATCAAGATTAAATGCATTTGTTGCTGGAATTCAGGGGTAATTTCCAATACGAAGTATTAAAAATTGTGCGAATCCCAGTTTTTTAACATAAAAATCGTCTGCTACATGAAAAAATCTGTTCTATTAACTATTCTCCTTAAAACTATTTTGATATTTCCCCCAGGTTCACCCCAAATCACCCCTATGCAACAACTTCCCAAAAATCCCCATATTTTACGTCAAACTAATTTTTCAATTACATTCAACTAAATATCTCTATAAATACCGGGCTGACGGCCTTCGGGCGCAGTCCCCTGCGGCGAATCCCGTTAAAAAAAATAGACGAAGTAATTGTAATTTCCAATTAAAACGTTTTTAAGCTGTCGACTCTCGAAGCTAAAAATCCCCCCTCCCGCACTCTGTAATGCGTGATCATTACCTAAACAGTTTGGAAACCTATTAAACTTATTAGGCCCTGGCCTCGCCGAGGAGATCCCCCGGTCCGCTTATCGGCGCTCTCAATATGCCCCTAAGACTTTTACCTGACGCGTGAATCACGTATTTTTCCTTGACCATCGACGTCCCACGTCGCCTCGGCGTTGAAAACCGTCAGATGTGGGAGGGCCGAGGGGAAGACTCAGCACAAGTACAAGAGTACAAGAGCTCCGAGGAAAAAAAAGGGGGGAAATAAATAAAGAAGGGGACGCAAGGCACGTTGAGCAAACAGTCTCAACTCGAGGAATTGACCGAGACGGCATCGGCATGACTCTCCCCGGGCTGTCATGTCTAGTGCCTCGCAGCAACGAAAAAGAGAACTGAACAGTAAATTTGAAAAAAGGGGATAAGAATAATAATGGCGAAATGGTTATTATCTTTGGGGTTTGAGGAGAGGCTTTTCGCCAATGCTCGGACTCAGGTAGAATCATAGTGGGTTTTTTGGCCGGGATACGGTTCATTAGGACCAGCCGCTCTTTAGAATCGAATTTAATTGGATTGAGGGGCTATTGTTCGAGTTGGACTCGGCTCTGATTGTTTAGAAATGAAATATCGACGATATTCACGGAGGGGGAAATCTTTTCGGGAAGCATTCAGCTTTATTGTCGCACGAGTTTTTTTCAGTCGATTCAGTGAGCAAATGCGAACGTTGGGTTACGATTTTTTCAGTTGAAATCAACGCTTCCAGTACTATTTTTTTTTGTTATTCATGAAATGAAAAATACGTATCTGATTTTTTTCGAAATTTTATATACAGTGATGGAAACGAATTAAACAAAACCCCAATTTTGGGGATAAAGAAAGAATTCTGAGGTTTTTTGGCGGAAAAATGTTTTTGGTTTTTTTAATGCTTAATTGAAGCGGTTGGAAGAATTATAGAAATAAACTTCATGATTAATGAATAAAAAAAATGTCATCCAAGTTTCCATTCACTTGTAAATATTTCAAAAACAGTAGAATTTATAAAAAAACTTCTTTGTTATTTGGAAAAATAAGCTCATAAAATAAAAAATACGTATCTGATGTTTTTTCAAAATAGTGACGAAAAAAATTATGCAAAACCGCAAATTGGGGAACGAAGAGGAGATTTTGAGATTTGATTTGACGACGAAATTAAATTTGATAAAAAAAAGAATGAAAAAATTATTGCATTCTTTGAATGCTCAATTGAATCGGTTGAATGAATTATGCGAACAAATTTCACGATCGCCGAATGAAAAAAATCCCACCAAAGTTTCCCCACATTTTTTGTAAATATTTCGAGAACAGAATTGATAAAAAGCGTTCAGAATGTCTTTCACCTCGAAAAATTTCCCACAAAAACCTCTCCTGCCGTTCCCCTCCCACCGCAGCTAATTAAATTACACCTCCGCCTCGAAAAACCCAACTCCCACCCCCGAAAGCCCTCCAATAGAAGCCATTTGGCCTCCCTTCTTCACATACTCCACCAAGAACAAACGGAGCATGTTTATTCGTGCCACTTGTCGTATGTTACGTGTTACCTACCTGAATCCACAGGCCTATAGTTGTCTCCTAAGCCCCTGAGTTTGCGTCTGACGAGGACAGCCCACTGTTAATACCAACGTGGAACTTAGCGACGTGACGCAAAGTGGTTCAGAAAACGTGAGAAGGAAAAACAAAAAGTCTCGACGCAAAAAATGAAAAAGAACAAGCCCAGAGCCTTGAGAATCCCATCGATCAATCAAAACAATTAAAAATAATTAACTACTCGAGTGCAAATGGCATCAGACAGAACACCATCATCTCCAATTAATAGATTCCATCATTTATTTGCTCAATAAAAATTCATATTCATCGAATAAATCTCAAAACTCGAAAAATCAATGAAAAAACAAAATAAAAAACAATAAACCAAAACGAAAAATCATTTAACATGAAATATAAATATATTTCGATGGCATTTTACAGTCAGTGGAGTGTTTATATGTATACAATATGTATATCTATGCGTTTATGTATACAACTATGTACAAAGCGGAAACGCCCACGTTTCCTCAAACGATCTATCCAATGATTTTCACATTATCAATTGAATATTTCACAATTACGACTCTCTCTCATTTTTTTTTCTCATTCTACAGTCATTAACTGGAGTACACGACAGACGGCCAGTCTCAGATCGAGAAATAAGGAAGAACAGAACGGAATAAAACAGAACAGAACGAATTAATCGCTCCAATTCTCCAATTTTTTCCCTCACACACACACACATACAAATTCTCACGTCTCACGCACACGAAAAAAAAAATTGGGTTGCATAAACCCCGCAGTCATCACCATTAATACATTCCCTCGATTATTAATTCTCATTAGGAATCGACTGATTAATAATCTATAAGATCTAGCTGTTAAACTCTACCGAGGAAAATTTTTCGTACTCAAACATTATTATTCTCTCTCGTTATTCTTATTGTTCCTCAGCTCATCCTAATACGGGTATGTACCGCCGTAAATACCCAGTCTTTAAGTTTCTTGGAAATAAAAGGAAATATGTTGCGGGACGAGGTACAGTGGAAGGGGGATTGAGGGACAGGTGGGGATGGTTATGATGAGGCTGAAGCTAGGGAAAAATTTAATTCCGAGTCAAGAAAAAATAATTTGAGGATTCATTTTTAGGGACGTGCCGCTGATTTTCTGCGACATCGTCACGTATTTTCGGGAAATTGTCACTGATTTCCAGGGAAATGTCCCTAATGTCCTGAAAATCAGATTTTTTTCCTCCCCCAGGCGAATCCAAGGGTTGAAGTATTCTCAAGGCGTGAGAAAACTCGTTCGCACATGAAAAATAATTCTCACACAACTGCTTGAAAATTCCCTGAATGAATTCTCCCATGGCTCCAGCCTCACGTGGTTATGGTATTGAATAGTAGTTGATTCCTTAAAATACTAGTCGGAGAATAAGCGTAGAAATTGTATCACACTATTAAGACTTGTACATGATCTCAAATGTAAATGCAGGCTCTTACATAGGCTTTTTATATTTCTCTTAAACCTCATTTCTCTTATGCTCATCGGTTTCATCACGTTGGCATTGGGGCATTGACAATTTTTGCGAATCGCTCTCTCGTTTTTTTTTTTTATTTCATATGGGTTTCGTAATTATTCGGATGAGGCATTCCACGCCGACATTACATGTCGCGCGCGGAATTTTGTGCCACATTTTTTTTAATGACTCTACGGTTAAAGGCCTTACGCTGCTGACGCTATTGAATAGACAATTTTATTATCAGTTTTTTTTGGAAGCTGACATGAAATGCCCCATATGACAGATTCTCTCTTCATTATCTCTTTCGTTTTTTTAATTTTATCGTTCCATGCCGACTCTACATTTCGGGTGAAGCCAAAACTACCGGAATATTCGATAAAAATATTTTCAAGTCATCAGCAAACTTCTTCTGCTCGACCACTAAATAAATATCAATAAATTTATTTATTAATATTTATATCACACTATAATCATTAATATCTCCGCTAGTTTCAGCTTCATTCATATCGAAGAACTATTTTCCTAAGAAAGTTAATTTTATGTTCAAGGCCATGCGCTGTTGACAATCCTCAATAGACAATTTTGATTTATGACGAGGAGCATTGATAGTAGTTCTTATCACGAGTTTTTTTGGTGAAGGTCAGCATGGAGTGTCGCACACTCCCATTCCTCTCTCATATCTCACATTTTCAAAATTTCCGTCTCCGCTATTCACTATCATTTCCATGAATGCGTGTATGGGGCACCGCGTGCGGCGCTGATTTTACGAATATTGATTAAAAATATTATTATCAAGAGTTATCATCAGTTTTTTGTCGGCACGAGATGCCCCATACGCCAGTGCTCACAACTCCCATTGTTCTCCCTGAACTTTCGTCTCTCTCAGTCCCACGCAGGAGACACCATGACACGAATGAAAGAGAAGTGCTCCCCGAGTGATTCTCAAGACCGAAACGAAGACTCCAACAGTACAAAGAGAACAGATGAAACTTGGATGCCTTGGAGAACAGAGGATGCCAGTCGTCGAAAGACGATCGATACCGAGAGGGGCTGAGACGTTTTCGGCGAGAAACTTCTCTTGGAGGTATCGATCCTCCTCGGCAATGTTCGGGTTACATCCTCGTACCCAGGACCAGGTCGAGGGCTTCCCAGAACTCAAGGGTGCGGTCGGCTCCACTTCCTCAAAGGGATCCAACAATTTTTCAAACAGGACAAACCGTCCAAATGAATCTCATCGAATTTCGTCTCCGGTTTTTATGAAAATAACTCAAAACCCAAGCGAGATATCGAAACGTTCACCCGGACACTTTTTGTAGCTCGTTTTACGCTCCACAAAAAAGGTTCCAATGAACATTTCGATATCTCCCTCGGACACCGTGATATCCGACAAAAACCCATTTCGAAACTGCGTAAAATTGATTTTTCCACTTGATTAATCAACTAGCCAACGATTACCGATCCCGCGAAGCACTTTTCCTTCATTACCCCGTCGTAATAACTATTTCAGACTTAAAATCCACGTACAATCGATCGGCTGATCCAATCCCTCCCCCCTGGAAACCCAAACCTCACAGCGTCACGATGTTTTCTCAAGAAAAAAAAAACCTATCTAGATGGGACACACACAGGGATCGAAAATAAACCCTAAAAAAACCGAGGCATGAGGACACCCACGGGGCGGCCAGCGGCCAACAGTCCAGCCCATCTCCCACCAGCAATAAAAAACCCAAAAGCTAAAGTCATAATCAACTAAAAGTACAGCTTGAACAATTTCCTATTCAATCATACCTCGTATCTTTGGCTCTACGAACTATCTCAACATAAATAATAAATACACGGACTTGGTTACTTGCTCTGTACACATAACTCTCCAACTGAATCCATAGAAATGAAAAAAAAAAAATCACCAAGTGATGAGGAGAGTTAGTCACGGGAATACGACGCGAGGGGAATGATGATGAAAAAAAAAAACGAGAAAAAGGAAACCGAATGAATGATGAATGGGAATGGTTTAAAAAGAGAAGGGAATGTAGCACATTATACGCGTAATATCGAATGGAAAAATTGGCCCTGCAGGACTGGGCGCATGTCTAAAGGGAACATGAAACTGAAAGAGGTAGGGGGAAGCCCCAATATTCGTGGAGAATGGCCCCTCCGGGTTGGTGTGTGCACAAAACGTGACTGTGTTAGAATGCCTCGTGGACTGTAACATACGTCCGTAGCAGCGGTTTTGGCTGGAAGAGAGTACTTTGGCTGTCCTTGTTTGTGGCCCCTTATGTGCCCTAGCAACGACAAGAGAGAGAGAGAGAGAGAGAGAGAAAGGTAGAGGGAGAGAGACAGACATAAGCCCCTGATGCCCACCAACCGCGAGAGATATACCCCAGCAAGTAAGTGTACGCCTGTGTATGTACTGTGTACGGTAATGGCACCGTTGGATATGCAATGTATACCATGTACCACGGGGATTTGATATACGTACACATGGAGAGCTATGGTTACATACGGTACGAATATATCCGACGGGGGAGG